CCTATAAAATTTGTTTTTTTGAGCTCTTCATAGGTCCTGAATTGATTAAGTGCTTAGGGTGAATTTGAGCCTAAATATATCCTTTTTCATACCTAAACCCTAGCCTTACATTACAAGTTTGATAAGGACCTATTGATCTTTGAATAAGTATTAATCTACATTAATGGAGAGATGGATGAAAAGCAAACTTATGGGGTCCTAGTATTAATCTATGCTTAGATTTGACAAAACCTAATTTGAATTACATGATATTTGTTGTAAGAGATTATTCACATACAAACAGGAAGTCCATTTGAAAAATAAGTTTTCACTTAAATTGATGCATGACATTGAGGATTAGCTATATGTTACTTCAAGCTGAAATTTGAATTAATTTCTAAGGAAAAAATTGATAAATCATGATTTGGTACTTTTATCTCCCGTTCAAAGATTTTTATGTTTAGTTTTCTTTTAGTGATTTTCTTTTGCTTGAAGACTAGCAAAATCTTAAGTTTGGGGGTGTGATAATTCTATTTTATAGAATTAATTTAGTCTAATTTTGTTATTAAATATTAGCTAAGTCCTTAATTTTGAATTATAATTTAGTTATTTTTAGTTATTTTTATAATTAGTTTATTTTTAAGTGAGTTATTTTAATTTTATGTTTATTTTCTTTAATTTGGTTATTATTTATTTGGTTTTATGTTTTTGTAGGATTTAAGGAAATTAAGCTTAATTTTGGAAAGTAAGGTGTTGAAAGTTCAGAAAGTCTATTTGCATATGCTTTAGTTTTTTGACTATATCTTGTGTTACAGAACTCCAAATGTTACTATTTTTAGACCATTGGAAAGTTAAGAGACAGAGCTAAAACTTTCGTAACTCACTTTACTTAGTTCTACCTCAAAGATAGAGAAAATTGCATCAAAAAATGGTTAGATGTACTATGATGGGAATGACAATTTTAAAGACTAACAATTGATATTTGGGCCTTCATTACATTTTTAAGCCCAATTAAATCATAGATCAGCTTAGGAAACTATAGGTTAAGTTTGTTAGTATAAAAAGGATATTTTTAAGAGACATTAGGGTAGACAACTTTTGGATACTCAAGAAGTTAGAAATGGAGGCTGAGACTTGGGGAGCAAGGCGGCAAATATTTGTTTTGTTTCTTCCTTAGCTTTTATTTTTTTTTTGTTACTTTCAATGGTTGAAATTTATATAATGTTATTTATCTTTGCAATTATGAGAAGCTAATATTCTTTTACTAGGATTGTAATTGAACTCACATGTAATCTAAATTTTTAATCTCTTTCTTACTTATCTTTAATGGGACTTGAATTATTTATTCCAATTTGTTCTTAATGCTTTTAATTGCTTGATCATTAATTAAATTGATTTAGGAACCTAAACAAACTTGGGAAGAAAGTTTAGTGTAAACTAGAATTTGGATAGTATATAATCATAATAATTGATTTGCGTATAGAATAGGAATATACCTATAAGCTATATGTAGTCAGATTAGAGCTTAAACTTAATGAGTCTATTTTAATTTCAATTCACATAGAGATATAGTGTTTTGGTTAATATAGATATTTTTATAAGATGAGTCGAGAGACCTTTATAAATAATTGAAAACTCTAGGTTAGCAATTCAACCCATTGAAATAAGTTAACGAAGAGAATTAAGATTTAACCGAAGTGTGAGGGATATTATAATCCTAGACTTGTTTGATTTGATCTTTACTCAAGTTATTATTTCTTTGATTTTTCTTTTTAGTTTAAATTTTTGTTAATTAATTTAGTTATTTGATATTGATTGTTTGGATAAAATTTAAATTGTTCTAATTTTACTACTTAGTAAAATTTTATATCAATTCTCTGTGGGATCGATATTCTGTTTACTTATATACTATCTATTCGATAGCTTGTTGTGGTGAATGGGTTTGTATGAGAAATGTTTATTTTTGTGAAAATTAATTGTTTTTTTTTAAAGTTTATTATTTACATTGTGATTTGTAGATGCTTTGCTATGTTAAGTTTGTGAAATTACTCAGCTTTACAAGGTTTGGGTGTTGTTTAGATAAAATAATGTTCTCATTGTCATATATAAATAGTTGACTATTAAACTTGTCAAATTATTTTCTTTTGTGACAACCTAATATACACTATTGTGAATGTTGGTGGTTGACACATACTAATTGAATTTATTTATTGAAAAGTCTTATCTAAAGCAAAATTGTACGAGAACCTTGGTTGACGTTTAGAGATAGTATATCAACATGGTATTAGCAATTTCATTTGTTTCCAATTAGTTACTGTTTGATGTTCAACAAATCAGCTACTATTCGACATTTAGTTTTCTTGAAGTTTGTTTGGTTCACAATTGAAGTATGTGTTTGTGTTGTAAAACCATGCTTGCTATCAACACTAGCAAATATAGTTTTTATACTTTGCAGATGCATTGTTGTGTATTCTATCATTGAAAAGTTGCATATTATCATCATGAGATTATATGTTGACCTTGATAATCTATTTGCTCTCTTTCATTTGATTCTCACATTTATATTAACTTAGAATAATAGAATTAAAGTTTTAATTTATTCCTATTTATCATATTTTTGGATATTATTTATGTATTTAAAAAAAAATTGAAAAAAAAATAACTCTTTTTTAATGTTTCAGCATTGGATGCCTATTAACCAACTGCTTTTTAACAGCCTATGTCAAACAAATTTTTGTCAAGAGAATCACTCTCACAACACAGATACTTATATCTGGATTAATTTCAATTTTTATGTTCAATTTTTGACAACAACTGTTAATAAAATTACACAAACCTACTATGTATGCTGAGGTGCTTTTCTAATTATATAATAATTCAAAATCATATATATATTCAAAAAAATAACAAATAAAAATAATTTTTTAATCAATATTCAAAATTCTTCCAAAAATGTACAAGTTTTTAAATATAGATGATGAGTGCATTTGATGAATCATATAGCAATTCTTGATTCTTATAATATGTATCATTAAGTTGCAAGTAATTAAAACTAATAAAATTAAAATTTTAATGAATATTTCTTGGAAGGAAAAAACAATACTATCTAGCATGAGTAAGGAAATGTAATATGAACAATAAATTTAAGTAACTGAAAATACAATTTAATTTCCTGCTCAAAGTATTGTTTTATAGTATTATTTTTTAAAATCGATATTTGCCTTAGGGACACATTTGTTTAACAGGAATGACAGCTTGTTCTATTTTTGCTCAATTCACATGCTTCCATTTGCTTCATTCTGAATAAGAAATGATGATTATCAAAGAATGGTCAATTTTAAAAAATGAAATAACAAATATTAACCTCCTTAGTATCAACTATTCGATATGAGTTGTAATGGGCTAAAATTTTTTTTAGAAAAATATCGCTAGGTATTTTGTCAAATTACTATTTAAAATTATAAAAAATAATATTTTAAATGATCATAAAAATATTAATATTTTTATTATAAAATTATTAAAATATTATTAAATTATTAAAAATAATTAAATACTAATATTTTAATTATAAATTATAAATTATAAAACTACATTATTAATAAAATAATTATAAGTAATTCATAAATTAGTAAAAACTATAAAGATTTAAATTATAAATTTTTAAATAAATTCTACAAATTAATTTTTTTGAATTAAAAATCAATTTAAATTTTAAATTATTCACACTTTTAAATAAATTAAAATTTTTAATATTTTAGCATTTAAAAAACTAAAAATAGAGAAAAAAATAAAATAGAATAAAATAGTTAATCAAATAAATTTTTAATATAAAATATTAATTTTTAATAGTTTAATTATTAATATTTTTAATAAACTATTAAAAATTAATATTTTATATTAAAAATTGTAAATTATAGTAAGTAATAATTTTCTGTTTAATTATCCGAATTATTTTCCAAAATTATTTATATGAATCAAAAATTGAAATAATACAAGAATATATATTTTATTATAAACTGAACTACTTAATAGTTCTTCTTATTTCATTTCATTTCATTTTATTTTTACAAAATAATTAATTGATTCATGTTGTATTCCACTTACAAACCAAAGCTTGGATAAAGTTTGTTGATTAATTTTAATTAGGGTGCATTAAGTTCTTTTATTATTTTACTTAAACAAAATAAGATCGATTAATTTTAGACACAACACGTTAACAAGACACAGGGTTAAACAAGTTTAGATTTAGTCTTAACTTGTTTTATATCTAATCGTGTTTGACACGTTGAGGCACGAAAAGTAGTAACACGTTTAAACACGTTTAATTAATTATATCAATTATGTCATTATGTTTAAATGTGTACATGCGACACGTTTATTAACTTATTAAAAATTAATAATCTAAGATTATTTTAATCTTGTTTAAAAAATTTTGATTTGAGTGTTTGGAATTGTTCATAGTTGATGATGTGGTTAGTGATATGTATTTAATTATCGATGAAAATTATGATTAATTTTTGATATTATTAGTATTTTAAAGTTAAATGTTAACAAAGGGTTTTATCATATTACATGATAATGAAATTTATATATGTTATTTATGTTAAATTTTATTGTATTTGATATTATTATTATTTTATTTTATTATACTTTTTTTTATAATTATTGATTTTAATTTAAATAATAAAATTATATTTAATTATAATTATTTTTTATTTAATTGTGTTAAACTTATTATTAATTGTGTCGTATCTTATATTGACACGTTTAATAAACGTGTTAATATATTGTATCATATTATACGGTTATTTAATACGTACATATTTCAGATTTAAAGCATGATTATTTTTTGAATCTTGCTTGTATTTAATCTTAATATGTTTTGTATTTAATCGTATTTAATATATTTAAGATAAGAAAATATGAATTATCAGATTAAACAAATATTAGTTTTGCATTTTTTTATAAAATATAAAAGATAGGTAGGTGTAACTTGCAATAGGAAAACGCTGACACGAGGGACAGAATATGAAGCACGCCCTCTGTAACAAATCAATCAAACTCCTCGTCAAATCTCGCAATCCTATCCCAGCTCGCTTTCTCGCTCTCCTTCTCCCTTTTGCACTCTAATAGTAAAATTTTTTTAATATAAGTAGGAGGAGCAGTAATCGATGGATAATAATAGATCATCGTCTCCCTCTTTCGCTTGCGCGCAGTCTCTCCAATCTCAATTCCCCAAACCCAAACCCTAACCCTAACCCTAACGCTAACCCTGTTCCTATTATCGAAAAAACAAAGTTTCACATGAAATTTGAGTTATCTCTCTCCCTCACTGGTTCCTCTCGTCGCAAACACTAGCTCTGTCTTCTTCTTTTTGATTGATATAGAGCACGCTCAAGGTAAATTGGGGTGTTCTTTCCACCATGGACGGCTCTGTGGTGGAGGATCTTGGGGCTCCGGAGTCGTGGAGGTGGCCGATTTGGACGCCACCATGAGCCGATTGATGCTCTCTTCTAACAAGGAACCCAAACCAGAATTGCCTGATGCTACTTCTTCTTCAGCTTCAGCTTCTGCTTCTTCGGCTGAGAAGGTGATCGCCGAGGATGCCATTAACCAGGTTGATCAGTTTCTCCGCGAGGCTATCCAAAACCCCCGCGAGCGCCTTTCCAGTAAGTCTCCTTTCTCTATGCAAATAATTAATTAGGGTTTTTGGATTTAGGCCTCTTGTTTGGAACAAGGAATTTAGATGTCTGTATTTTCGCTTATATTCCTGCTGCTTGCTTAGGGTGTCTTCTTGACCTGACTTTTGCTATGTTCTCGCCCTGTGTCTGAACCAATGCGCTGCTTGTGGGCCTTATTCTAGAATTTGGGAACTACCTTTCATCTAAAAGAAAAAGGAAAGAAAAGAATTGTACTTTTCTTATAACTAATCATGTTTTTGCTGCACGCTCGCTGGGTATTTGATATCCTAAATTGCAAATGCTAAAGCTTTGCTTGTTATGTTCAGTTACCAAGGACTGCTTAACTTCGTATGGTGCAGTTGAATGCTAACATTGCCAGTGACCTTGTCGTAACTCATTATATTCTAATGACCAAATGTTTTGATCGTAGTCAATTTTCTTTATAAGATAGCCAGTTTCATTGAAGGCTTCATGATTTCTTTATTATTGTTTTAATGGAAAGAATTATTTTTAGGAAGTTCACATAACATTCAGGGATGGCTAGTAATTGAGTTCCCTACCCCCCCTTTTTTTCTGGTGTGAAGGAAATTTTTTTTGAGCATGTTTGTACGGTTTTTGATCCAGGATTTGAGGCAATTAAAATTGAGGGATGAAAGTGTTGGACATCATTCTTGATAATGAAGGCTATATAGGTGATTATGAAATAGTCCTTATGTGTAGTCAAGGGAAGATTATTTCTGATTTCATTTTCTACTTTTCAGGCAAAAAATAGTAATAACGTGTTATAATTCCAAGTTTATAATCACAACATACGGACATTACCAAAATACTTATTTTATTATCAAATTGTCATGGTTCCAAGATCCTGGTGTGATAAGAATTTTACTGTGCGCTCTATTGAATCAGCTATAAGTTATTATTTTTGTTTGAAGAAAAAAGGACCTTTTCAGCTGGTAAGGCCAATTAGGATATATCCACTCTTTGGAAGGAAAAGCTGAAAAAAAGTGAAAGACCATGTAGCTAATGGACCTAACTCCATTAAAGACCTGTCTTGGGGTTTCAAATGTCCAACCCCCCAAAAAGGGCAAAAAACGTCAAGTTAATGGTTAACAATCTACTAAAAGTATCCCCTTGCATCAGCCTTCCATAATTTCCTTTCTTTTGGACAAACTGGCTGTTTGTTTAAGGGTCTAGTTTTACGAGCAAGGATGATAACAAAGTTTTCCTATAAAAAGTTTCTCTTGCTTAAAATTTTTGCAAGTCTTATACTTTTTCTGGTTTTATTGTTTTAAATAGAACAGGGGTTACTTTCTTGGTGTACTAAGATGATGGATATTTTAGGGTTGTATCCTGTGGTAGAAAGAGTATATTTTAGGGTTGCATTCTGTTTCTGTTGTGTGCTTCTTCTGGCATTTTCAGAAGTATGCCCTTTTGTTTTCTTCTTAATGTTAACTTGTGAAGTTGATGATTATCATTTTGCAATTGTTTTTGTTTATGAAAAAACCAGTTATGTTTATGAAAAAGACTATTGTCTTACTTGTAAAATGAAGATTCTATATTTCTTTTATTCAGTCCTGAGGATGGAGCAAGATGTTGAAAAATTTATCCGTGATCCTACTCAGCAGCAACTAGAGTTCCAGCAGCTGCCTACGTCATATTTGCGGTTGGCTGCACATCGTGTGGCGCAGCATTATTCACTGCAGTCAATGGTTTTATTAGACAATAATTTGCCTGATGGTTCTGGTTTTAGAATCATTGTCCGCAAGACTTCTGAATGTAGGCTTCCTCCTATTCGATTGGCAGACATCCCTGTGAATTTACCATCAGAAGACCCTGGTGTTGTAAAGGTGGCAATTAAACAGAGGCCGCAGAAAAGGTCTCAGGTTTCCAGCTATTCAAATTCAAATTCTTTGAAGACAAACAACAGCAAAAGTGTGGAAGAAAGAAAAGAGGAGTATAACCGAGCTCGAGCGAGGATATTTAACTCTAATAGCTCTAGCAGTGGTTCTGGCGGAAAACCAGAAAATGAACTGAGGTTGCAGGATGTTTCCTACTATGGTTCCTCAGGGATGCCAAAGATGGAAGAGAAACCTGTTTCAGTGGTTTCTGACATAAATTCTAGTAGGGGTTTGATCGAATCCTCTACAAGTAGTAGTAGGTTGGCTAGAAGTAGGACAGAAAAGGAGCCAATTGCTAGGAGCAAACCAAATAATAGGGTGGCAATCTTTCGGGACCGTGAAACTGACCGCAAGGACCCTGATTATGACAGGAGTTATGACAGGTATGCCCTTTGTTTTAATTTTTTAGTTTCCTGCTGGGTATTAGATTTTCTGATTTATTTCCGGGTTTTCAAACTTTTTGCTAAAGTTCATTTAAGTTAATGTTTAAAGGTATATAGTTAGTTTGGAACTTGGAAGGAATTAATTATTTTATTGTCAGAAAACAAGGTTTTAGAACAACTTTTATGTCTTTACTGTTTCAATTAAGAGTGAATGAGTCTATGATTGCTTTGAGGGATGACAAGGAGTCTCACCTTATCATTTAATTAGTGACTATTCATTTGGTTTGTTCTGTCTGATCTACGTTGTTGATTTTGATCTGTATGGTTCAAATATCTTTATTTTCTTGATCTTTCATAACTTTTCCTCATTTCTTTCTTTGTCAATTCTCCTTTGTTTCATTATTAATCATTTCTTTTCTGATATTCTTTTTCATATATGAATTTTTTGGCTGTACTAGTATATTTATTTTCTTTGAAAAGGAATGGAAAGAGTAATTTACCATTTAAATAAAAATTAGACATCCATTAATTAGAAAATTTTGAGATAATTGGTTGAAGAAAACTTCACATTGGCTTAAGGGGAAAGAACTGAAAAATATTTACCACCACCTACACATTTTCTTTACCAGTATATTAAATTAAGCCCCTTGTTATGGCGGCCACCATCAAATTGCTACTCAACTTCTCAAATATGTTTTATTCATGGGAAAACAGTGAAAACTTATGAGGTTAACTATTAGAGTTAAGTGTATCTTGAATGGAAGAATGACAACTTGACAGTGATTGAAATGTACTAATCAACCTATACATATAGCTATTTAACTTCTTAATTTGCTAGAAATTGGAAATCTTTTGAGAAGAGAAATTGCCTGCAACTGCAAGGCCTGTTAAAATATTAGATTTGAGAGAACATATGCAAAAACTTGAGTGGGAAGTGTAAACGAGGGAATGAATAGGGTTTAGTCAACAGTATGGAACCTATTAATGGCTGGCTCCTCAATGTCGTGTGATAGTGTTACTAGCTAATAATTTCAGACTGTAAGTTTCTTGTAACAATATAATGGTCCGTGTTCTTTGTTTTTCATTGTCTTACGTGGTAGAAATACTTTGTTTGATAGTAAATTGAGGATAGAAAGAGAGAATTTTGTATAATAGTCTTTTTAACAATATTAAATATTTATCAATTCCACATGCTGCAAATATAAATGCTGGATTGACCTATTGCAATTGTATTACCTTTTTATTTCATAATTAGTATATGCTACGTTAGTATTGCAAATGCTGCGTTTGGTATAAAAGAAAAAAGATACTGCAAATGCCATTTTTTCATTGGGCAAAAAGTTTATATAGTGATTGTTTTCCTCCAGGTACTTGCAAAGATTTGATCCTGGGTTTGGGTTCAATAGTGGACCATACACAATGCAGCCTATGTACACCCCTACAATTAACTACAATACTGAGTTTCCACAACTTGGAACTACTCACAGGCCACAGATATCTACTGAGCACCAACCTCGGGCTCTCCCACATGTACCTGGGCCATGGGCAGCACCATCAACTGCTACAGGAATTAGTTATGGTCATCCAGAAACAATGATGCCGCCTTTTAATCCAAATCATGTTGGTGCACACTCCACATCTGCCATATATTTGCATTCTTCTCAGTATCCTTGTCAGCGTCCTGGAATGCCTTTCATCCACCCTCATGAGCATGTTCACCAGCCTTTTTCGCAGGTATAGCAACGTTATGATTTTCTTTCCTAAAATTAGTAAAATAGTTACCGCTTATATTCCTTCTTGTGATGCGTCTTTATCATTGTCACTTTCTTAAGTAAATCCTTCACCATGTTAATGTGGGGGGTTCCATTTTCAAAGAGACTAAAATATCTTATTCTTTTCATCATCAATTGCAGCAAGAGAACGGCAAATATTCTGCTGCTAGGTTTTATAAGAATGAAAATTGGAAGATTACAATAGACAATAGATTAAATTCAAGTCATTATAAAATTATAATTGTCGTTGAGTAAGTACACTAATTAAATGTTGTCTCTCCAATATCCCACCTCTCCTCCCCTTACCCTTTTTGGTTTTGTTCTTTTTTTTTAATCTTTATTATACATTCCCATTTTCCACTCAAAGACAAAAGGTAGACCAATGAGAGCAATCTATTTTTAAGTCAAATGCTTTCCTCAAAATTTGTGCATAGTTGAACTAACATTATGTGTTGGAGGGAGTATCAGATATTATAAGGTGGCATTTAGGTCTAATCCCAAGGTTCCTATTGCTACTTGGCTTTGAAGATGCTGGCAAATCTCTGCTTATAACAATCAACTGCGAAAATTGCACGCACAATTGAAAAAGCAGTGAAAGACAAGAAGCACAAATACAGGAATGAATAAACTTGTCTGAGATTAAAAGCAGAAGATATATGTTGACCTAGTAATATTTCGTGAAGGCTAGAGTGCCTTGTTTCTTATTCTGGTATACCTAGTTCCTTCATCATCTTTTGCATTAAAGAGGGGGTTGGGGGATAAAATGGGAAAAATAATTGAAAAACAGAGATTTGTGCCTACGGGTAATAGGTTGTCTTTTGAGTTCCCATTTCTGATTTTGATCTTTGAATCATTGCCTTTATACAGTCTCATCAACAGCAACCTGATGCTAGTTTTGGATTAGCCCGGCCCCGGTGAGGGGCTTGGGCCATGCCTGCACCCTGCTGGCTGAAAATTGATTTGAAATATGTTGGATCAATGCAGTCGCAAGTTATCTCAGCTGGCAGGAGTGCAGGCACAGAGAACCGGGGTGAACTGGCTTGCTACAATATTTTGATTGATAGGCGTGTTGATCCTCTCGACCACCCTCGGTTTATCTTGGAGCTTCTTGTATCTTTGGCAAAGGTTGGAGAAGCTCACTTGGTTTGGCATATTCATTGCCGCTGATGATGATGAAAGAAGTAGATGAGAATTATCAGAACAAAGAATGTTCATCAATGATGAAGGTATGGCTCACCTTCATATGCCGTTTGCTGAAGGAGGCGAACATTTTATTACAGCTTTGCATTTATGTTTTATTTAACCTTTTAGATTATTATCTGTATAAATATGACGTTGTCTACTATCTTACAGTGATACAAGGAGTCAAAGGGAATTGCGAAAATATTATTTTTGGAAGTGGGGAAATTGCTTCTGTTCTGTGGAACCTGTTGATGTGCAGCATCTCCCTTTGGTAAAGCTTTTACCGTGAAAGAATATTTCTTTACTGGAAAAGTTGTTTGCTGATGTAATTAAAAAGCAAACCAGATTATGTACCATATAAGTATTTGGTCCAGCCTATTTTGAACCTTTTGATTACTATCTAGAGATTATTATTAATATTACAGTTAGCTGTCTGAGTAAGTGGTGTTGATTTCCATTTTCCATGTATACAATTGTTTTCTGGACATATGCAAAGTAGAGCTGCCTGAGCACAGTAGGAAATCTAGTAGTGGTTTTGTGCTGGGGACTATGCATGCCCAAGCAATGACTGGCACATCAAAACACTGGTATATTGACTAATTATGTTCTAGGCCTCATCCTGTGGTAGAATAAATTTTGGCCATGTGCTTGTTTTTCATTGGTTGTTCGGGTTGGTGGCTGACAGCACAAGTTGGCATCATGTATTCGTTCAACAAATCGGAATGACCCTTGTTGCATTGCTAAAACAACTTTGCTGTTCTAATAAAATCAGAGAATAGATTTCATGCCAATATTCCCAATGCAATCTTTGAAGAGTATCACTTAATTAAATATATTAAAATTAAAAATATCAAGCCAGAAACACAAATTGACATATATCTAAGAAGAGTTTTCGGTAAAATGTTTTTACATTTTTTAAGTTTTGTTCATTATTTTATATAAGTCTACTAATATTAAAAATAAATAATTCGTTAAATTTTACAAAATGATTAAAATACGCCTCAAATAAATAGTTTGCATCCGCCAAGACCTTTTATTTATTTTTTTCCTTGTCTTCTCTCGTTCAACCACTTAGACTTTTATTTTATTTTATTTTTCCTGTCTGTTCTTCTTCAATCTCTTTGGCCTTTTTACTATTTTTTTTTCTGTTATTATCTTTATGCTCTTGTTTAACCTGTTTAACCTTTCAATTTCTTTTTAATTCTTTCCCACGCTGGGCATTTCTTTTTCTTACTTGCATTTGTTTTTTTAAAGAAGGAAAGAATGGGTCTAAACCATTTCATGCTTTCAACCCATTAAGCTTTTTTAGTCCTTCCTAGAGACCATGAACTTCTTGTGAGTGTAATTTTTGTTGACTTCAATTAGATTGGACTGATGGGATGGTTTTTTCTTCTATTTTGTTCAGAACCCACGCCGAAATCTACATGATTGAGATGTTTCATGCAAGGGAGAAAACTTGATTTGGTGAAATCTTTTAAAAGGAAGAAAAAGGGGAGGGAAGAGAGCACTTGCAGTTTCAGTTTTATTTCTAGACTTTGATTTCAATCCAAAGCTAAAAAACAAACAAAAAAAATCTAGAAAGAAAATTACAAAATTTCGAAATCTCGACCAATTTCAAAATTGAGAATTTTCCATTTTTAGAGAGAAGATGAAAGAGCCGACTGCAAGGGAGAAAAATATATATATAAAAAAAAAAAAAAGAAGAAAAACCCATTCTTGTTGTGCTTTGCTGATGTGCAACGTGATAGAGGGGACGTCCACTGCTGCCAGTGGTGTTGGGGTAGTGCTTTTCTGGGTTACTATTGTTCGTGTTCAGACGCTGGCTTTTATTGTATTTTTGAGTTATGCAAAAGTTTTACGAGTTGCGATGTTGTTTCCGGCTCCAATCCAACATCCTAACGCAGCAGAGGAAATTGCTGGAACTTGGGAGGAATATGATCTTATCTCTTGGTGCTTCTTTTCTAGTTGCCCTTTTGTTAGAGTACTTTAGACTTGTTCGTGATCAGACGCTGGCTTTTACTTACGGGTTTATATTTGATGAATGACTATTAGTAAATTAAATAATATTGTCATCTTGATAATAAATAAATTTAAAACTTTGAAATAGTAAAGAATAAATACAAAAAATTTAAAATTATTTATTTTGAAAGATTTTTGTAGTTTTATCTTCACATGAGATGACATTTTGTGATCAAGTAATAATATATACGCATTGCAAACATTCCCAACAAATTTATCTTTAAAATTCAAAATAAAATAATCCCAAATAAATTAAGGATTTCAAGAATGTATTGGTACAACTAGGAACTGCATTGGCACATGGATGGGGATATGGAATTCATGGAGGAAAGCCTATAAAACGCCCAAAACAAAGTCCTTAAGATAGAAAATGTAGAAGACAACATGTGATGGAAGACGAAATGAACAAAGAGCCTTTATGCTTATACACAATCATTAAAATAAATGTAAACGAGAAGTATTGTACGATCTAAATTATGATCTTTGTTATAAATAATTAGATTAAATTGTGTGAATGAATATTATAATAACTTGTGTGATTAAATTACGAAAAAGGCCTGAGCCCAGGGCCTCTTGCTACTTGCTTGCTTGGATATCTATTCTATACGACACTTCGATACTTCATAAATGCCTTGACTTTCTTTGTAAAGTTATTGTTGGAAATTTAACATTGGATGTACTAGAGCTGAATGCACGCCACTGAGACTGCCTATCAAGGAAGGCTATTGCTAGAGCAAAAATTTACTATGGAACATTAGCACTGTCAAGATTACCTTGAGTTCTTAACTGCATACTTTAAAGTTAAGATAAAACATCTTCACCCTTTAAGCTTTAATCAAAATTTTAAACGAATCTATTAGTTTGTAAAATGAACATTTCACCTCAAAAGTGTAAATACTATTAATGGAGGATATAAAAGGACTAAAATGCTATTTTTCTTTATTAATTAAAAAAATTATTATTATATACTTTTTTTGAAAAAAATTCAAGTGCTCTTCTATTTTTTAAAAATTAATAAAAATTATATAATAGTAATTTTTAAAATTAATAAAAGATAAAATTATCTTTTTTCTATATTGTCACATCATCAAACTAATATAAACACTAACAGTTGATTAACAATTGGACTTATATGTCTAGCAAAAGATATTTTTTATGAACGAAGTGTCCATTTCAAAAAATTAATGTCCTTATTTGAAATTTCGAATAAAATTTTGGAGAATGGAAGTATTTTACCTTTAAAGTTATCATTCAAAGGAAACTAAATGAGGGACACTAACGAGCTATGGTTTGCTAGGCGTAAAAGATTGAGTTACTTCTTGAAGATTTCTTTTGCCATTCCCAACCATGCTTGGAGGTTAGAGTTTCAACTAGGATTGAGCATTAAAGGGACGAGGAAAGAATTGGCCTAACTAGATTCCAAAATCTCATATCTTACTTTGAAGTACATTTTATGCTAATTTTACAAAAAAGGTTGTAAAAATAATTCTTCAGTAGGAATAAGGCTCCCTGAGGCAATCAAAAGGTTTGAGACCCATTGCATTTGAGAGCTTCAATCAATTAATCAAGCAAAGGTAACCTTTGTTAAGTCAACGACAGTAAAACATCAATCAATGGAATATCTTTTGCTGAGAATTGACCTCTTGTTCAAACATGAAATTAAAAATATAACGCAGCTGAAAAAATAAACTACCATTTAATCAGAGATATGGTCAAATCCTACAAGATCAATGTTTATGTTTTCATGTAATTTTTAAAAATGATAAACATTCATAAGTTTAAGTCTCATACTTTATTCTCGATATTGTAATCAAGAGCCAATCAAATCCAAAAGGCTTGTGATGAAGCAAGTAACCCGAAAAAAGAATAAGACAATATAAACTTCTACAGTCGAATCTTTGCTTCTTCATTTTTAGGATTTGTCAATTCTTTAGTCACCCAAGTGTTTAGGCTCTAACGGTAATCCACACTGTGACTAAATAAGACCTTCTCAAAGATAAGATTTTACTTGTGCTGGCAAGTTTTTGTTTCTACCACAAAAAAACTAAAAGTTATTGCCAAATTTTATTTCTATCAGAGAGAGAACTATTTTTCTTTTTCTCATTTTTATGAAATGGTTAAGAAGTACTTGGAAGCTTCAAGTTTTAAGCTAACATAACATATTTATATAGCCAAACTAAGTTGTAACCATTGATACTATAGTTGTATTTTATTTCAACTAAGTCCTTGTAAACTTAATTAATTTCCTACTTTATTTTGATCTATTCTAATTAAGTCCAACTTAATTGATTATTCTTATTTAATCTCAATCATGACACTTAATATGCATGACCTATTAGGCTTCTAACATGTTGACAATAAATATAAATCCTAATCAAATATCAATTTGATAATTGATTTATACTTATAGATCATGAGCGGCATATACCAATACATCATGACCACCCAAATGTTAGAGAGTCAATTAAAGAATTTAACAAAGCTTTTTGTCAGTTAAAATTCTACCACGCAAGTAAAACACGATATACGAATAAGATAAGTGTATAACAAGTAGAGTATCGATCCACAGGGAATTGATCTAAAAGTTTACTAAGTACTAAAATTATTGCAAATTAATCTTATCCAAACAATAAAAAATAAATCAAATCAAACTAAGTTATAGCAGAATTAAATTAAGAAAATCAAAATAATAAATACTCAAATAAATATCAAATCAAACAAGCCTAGGATAACAATCCCTCACACTTCATCTAAATCTTACCCTCTTAACTTATCTCAATGGTTGAATTGCTAACCTAGAGTCCTAAATTATTATAAGGGTCTCCCAACTCATCTTATAAAAATATCTATTTATACCAAAACACTATATCCCTATGTGAATGAAATTAAAACAAACTCATTAAGTTCAGGCTCTAATTTGGCTACA